ACTTTGCAACGCAAAACTGACTGATTTTTCAATGTTTCCCAAAGCGGAGATGGCGATCGTTGAAACGGTTCTTTGCCGGTTAGCAATAACCAATTAGCGCTCGAAGCGCTAAAACGATTGTTAGAAAAAAGTTGCGGCAAACGGGAGATTTTACCGCATCGAGATTAACATGGAGATGGACGTTGGCGTTGCCGGGCACGAGCGCGGCTTCTGATTATAACCGTCGTAATAATATATTATAGTGTTATCCGATTTAATGGAACAGGCGAGTTTGTAATAGTAGTACTACGGTACTACTACTACTACTACTACTACTACTACTACTACTACTACTACTACATCTCGCTAAAGAATCACGATATTGGATGGAACCACTCCGCGTCCCCGGTATAAATTCCCGATTTATTCTGCGTCTCTCCTCTCAACGTCTCTTCTTTTATCTCTCTTTCCTCCCCTCCCCACCCCTCCCCACGTTCGCTCACCTTTCTCTTCTTTTCTCAATTTATCTCCCTTCCTGCTGCTTCCCATTTTCTTATTTCTTATTTCTTATTTCCAGCCAGTTTGCACGTTGCACGTTGCACGTTGCACGTTGCACGTTCCAAGCGGAACGCTTCCCTTCCCTTTCTTTTCTTTTTGTTTCCCCTCCTCGTTTGTAGTATTTGACACACGTGTAATGAGATATAATAGCGAGAAGCAGACGATATCCAGTTGAAGAATTATTACTCGAACAGTGCTTGGTACGTGTTGTTTGTCCAGTCTGATGATGGCGCTGATGACGAGGCGAATAATAAAAGAAGAAAGGGGAATAAAATTGTCGGCTGTTTGATTGATTTGCAGACAGGCGTACGATTGCCGGAGGGTGCGAGCGCAGCTCTGGCTAAGCCAACCAAGTATCATTATTATCCGCATAATCAACACATCTACTTGTTGCCAGAATGCGCGGTTCAACAGGTTTGCAATGCCGTGTACGTTCGACTGAACTTTACCCAGCCTCTGTGCGCTTGTCCAGGAAGATACCGCGATCCTTGCAGCGCCTCTCTCGACAGCGACGATCTCCACACTACCGAGCTGGTCACCGACCCTCGAACCAAGGTTAGTCGCCTTGCCTTGCCTTGCCTTTCCTTTCCTTTCTTTCTTTCCTGCGGTTCCTTACTCCTCCGTCCCGTTCATCTTTCCTCTCTTTTGCCGCGAGAAGCACACGATGCCCACGACGTTACGCTTATCGAACCTCGTTACGCTCAACCTAACGTAACGAAACCAAATCTCCAAGCAATTGATTCTCTCGATCCTTCCCACTCTCTACTCGAGCTCACCTTCTTGTTGCAACTTGCTGCTGCCAACACCTTGCTTCTACCACCCCGACAGCTTTCGTTCCCTTTCCTTTCGAATTTTCTTAATCCTCGAAACTTGCAACATCTCTTATTTACACACCTTTACAAGTGTAAAAACTTTTCAAGCACTCGAAACTTCTTCCCTTTCCAAAGATGTAGACTACTCGCGTGTATTTTCAATAAATTGCTCGCCGCGATAAAAAAAAAAAAAAAAAAAAAAAAAA